ACCTTCGAACCTTCGAAAGCCGCACCAGCCCCTTGACATCATCATCCTCCCAAAAAATTCTGCAGTGAGGGCTGCCAACAATACAAACTGGGACACACTAGGGTTTAGGGTTTAGGGTGTCTATGGCACTTCCAAACATGATTATACTATGTTAGTGATGCATATAAAAGTCCCCATGCAATATGAACATTGCTGTCTGTCCCTCTTCCAAACCCTGCTCCAACCCGTGGGTCCAACGCAGCAGAACCCTGAGAATGCAGAATGGTACTACCCTGGGCACTGCCTGGTGGGTTTAGTTTTTAGGTAGCAGTCTCTAAGACATGCAATAGCAGGGACTGCATGTGTATTAAAATTACAAGTAATGTGCACTTGTTACTGGGTCAGGACAGTGTCCAAGTCATGCCCATTGGCAGCCAAATCAAACCGAATCAGACCGCTTGCAATACTTCCACATGACAATTCGCAAAGCACCGTTACATGGCTGTGTTCCATAAACATCTTTATTCCTTGTTACAAGGCTGACTCATTGACGTCGATAGTGTGGTCTGGCAACAATGGACCCCATTGTGATCCCTGTGCTGCGAATTTTTTTTGATGTAAATGTAGTTCTTTATTGATTTTCCTTCACTAGAATTCAAATGAACCTATCATGCAGCACCTTGCTCTTGAAGGGAACCCTGAATCCTACTTCGGGCAATATAAGAGCTTCTAAGTAAAACCCCCAGCTGCCCGCGTAGACCCCAAACTCAAAAAATGAGCCGAAAGTTATCGCAATTCAGGGCTTTGGGGAAATTAAGGAGTACTGGGTGGATATAGGGGGATATGAGGTTACCGGAAAGGGAAGTTGAAGCTACTGATCAGGGCTTCAGAATCCCCGCCGGCTCAAACTCCGAACCTTCCCAACCAATACCCCAAACCTCTAAAACCCTAACCCCCTAGCCTTGCTTTGCACACATCGCATTCAGGAAACCCTGGGGCAAATTCCGAGGGGACCCCGAATAGGACCGAACCTCCCTCAGAAGGACTCGGAGAACAGAACCCCCAACCCTCAACTTGAGAGAACGAAATTCTGAGTCCACGGCCGCCCTTAGCCCACGGGTGGAGGCCTCGACATTGGTTTAAGGTTTAGGATTGAGGGTGAAGGGGCTATGGGGGATGAAGGGAATCTTGCATTATCAGGGAGGCCCATTCTACTGTTCTTCCTGAGGTACACGGTGTACGGCGTGGAGCAAGATTCCCTCCATGCACGGTAGCGTTTTGAGTTAAAGGGTTGGGGCTAGGGTCCAGGTGTAAAGCAATGGTGGTAGGGGTATGGGGTGTACAGTTCAGAAAACTGGGCTTATGGTTTTAGATGTAGGGCAACGGTAGCACCACCACCAACACTACCTAAACCCTGAACCAAAAGCTGCTTGAGCTGGAATCCGGCTTACGCACACCATTTCGAACCGAGCACATTCCCTACTGCAACTAAACCCTCTAAACCTTAAACCCCTAAACCGCCCAGAATTAGGAGACAGTGGCAACGCGTCGCTCCCTGCCAACGGAGCTGGAACCCAAAAGTAAACTCATTGCAGGTCAGCAAGGAGTGAGGGGATTTATTGTTTAGGGATTGTGTTCCACTTATACATGTACATGTACACGGACGTACATGGAAATACAAGGAAGTTCCCAGAATTAGGGTTTGGGGTTTATTGCAAGGATCATAATACTTGCAGGGTCTAGATGTTTTCGGAGACTACCAAATGAGCTACAATCTAAACTCCTATATTACACTATGATCTCCCATATAACACCCCTTCGAAGAGTTTAGACTCTAGCTCAAGTTGAATCAAAGGTGATTCCTGAGTCGCGTGACTCACGCTCAACCTAAAGTCGCCTCAAGTCGAGGCCATGTCTTTGAACCCTACAATGTTTAGGGTTTAGGGTGGTTCTACCCTAAACCCTGCGCCCTAAACCCTAAACCTTTAAGGTTTAAGGTTATGCTACAGCCGGAAAAAAGCAGCCTAGCTGTGAAGGGTCAGAGGCTGCGTTCATCCGCAGTAACAGGAAAGCCGAGACAAGTAAACCATACAGTGTGGGGGGTTTAGGGCGTAGGGTTTAGGGTTTGGGCTAATGCCTTTGCAGCTATCAACGCAATTCCTCTCACGGCTGTGCCGGGCCTGCTCTCACCTCTGATCCATGCAACCCTGGATATTGTCCTTCCAGCGCCATCCTCAGGCACTGGCTAAGTCCTAAGTAGAACCCGGAATACATGAAGCCATCAAAGGATTCGGCGGAGGCGGCATCCACGAAGCTCGCATCACCTGCAATGGCTGCACGGAAGGGACTTAGCAAATTAAAACTATAAACCCGTCAGACTTTGAGGCGAACTACTCTTTACTCCTTGGGCCGCTGCTGAAACTATAAAAGTTTCTCAAGTTTCCGCACAGATTTAGGGTCCAGAGGCCAGGGCGAGGAGATGAAAGGAGTATACTGCAGGGATATGTGGAAACCCGATGAGAACCAATAGACAGACTCATCAGTGCTAGTATCTATTGTTTGTATACTAGGATCCGTGTACAGCCCCTTTATCACCCAAGTTTCCATTTCATTTTTCCATTTGATTCGGCATTGTTGGTGTTATTTGTATACTTCTGTCAATGTACTTTTGGGGAGCCAGCTTTCATTCTGTCAAGGCTCGCCCTGGTGCAGAGGCCATGTGCCGTGCAGTCGTTGAAAGATTTTGGTGAGCCATATACGCCTCAATGCGATGTCTTCGCAAACATGCACACACATCTACATCCTACATAGCAAGGAACCCGATTCGTCACCAGCTTATTGAGGCACTTCTCGCGCAGGCGTGTCCAGAAATGGTTGGATCATCTGATCGGTATCCAGACATCCTTGACAGGACTCCCTTTATTACTGGCTTGCTGTTAAGGAACTTAAATTAAGTTACCATAATGGGTATATATAGTAAATAATCGGGTTTTTCCCCAATATAGTAACTTAATTTAAGTTCCTTAACAGTAACCCAGTTTATTTTGAGAGACCTGCAGCCAGATTGAAGGATACACCTGACGACTGAGAAAATTTTAGCTATCCCAGGCCCTATGACAAACACACGCATATAACTATCACATGGTCATAATAAAGGTCCTACTTGCAGGTTCTTGGGGTAACCAGGAACCATTTAATCCCCTTATACCCCAAAACCGTCAACCCTAAACCGTAAACTCTGAACCTTAAACCTTAAACCCCTAGGTTGATTGACTTCAGCGGCCATGGCCGCAAAATTGAGAGAACTGAACCACTATACGAAAATGAAGCAAACATAGACAAAATAAAGCCCCTATAGGCCGTAGTGAGAGCAAACGATAAAAGTGTAGGCACGTTGCGAAGAAAAGACCACTAATTGGGATCGGCTACCGCTCTGAGCCTCCCTACACCCCTAAACCCCTAAACCCTACCCCCTAACCCCTAAACCCACTTAATCCGCTTATTCCCATTACCCTGGACCCAAACCCTGAACCACGCCGAGCCCTAAACCCTAAACCCTCGGATCAACAGCCTGAAGATCCTAACATCCCGAAATGAAATTCGTAAGCCCCAAACCCCAAAACTGAGTAATGATGAAACAAGGAATGGAAACTTCTACAAATCATTTAAGGTTGAGCGCTTCAGAACCTTCATCCATGAAGCTGGAGTTTCTTCTAGGTATCCCCTTCCAGAACAAGAAACCTTTTACCCCCGGCCCTACTCTCTAGAGGCCTCGAAGGGACGCGTGCGAGTGGCCAGGCCCGTTCGGGCGTCCCCCCCGCCTCAAGCTAGGCGTGCTTGTGGTTGAACCAAGGAAAACTACGTTCTACCTATAGCATACTATGGCCACCAGAAAATCATCATCGATCCTATAGTGGATTGGGGAGTATGGTCGCACTATCTAAAAAGCTGCTTGAGTTGTTAAGTACTTCAACGCTTGGGTTCATGGGCCGGAGGTTCGAAGACTAATCATACGCATGCTTCCAAGACCCCTACGAGGCCTCAATATACGACAAACTTTTTCTAAACCCTCAAGGCTGTATCCCTATATCACCCTACGTATGCTCCCATGCTCCGCATTCCCAACTTCTATGAAGCCCATGAACCGTTCATAATTCATAAACCTCTACCAAGCAGCAAAAAACCCTCTTGTGAAAAATCTAGAAAAACCTTCTACAAAACCAAGGAAGCCTGTGTGAACCTGCTAGAAACCTTTGTAATTCTCAGTAACCAGTATAACCTGTCTGTAAATCTAGTTTAAACCACCAAACCTAGACCGCAAGCCACAGGACCGCAGAGGCGAGTCGAAAGGTGTAATATGTCTATCACACTCAGTATGTGGAGGTTTAGGGTTTAGGGGGCCCTAAACCCTACACAGATGGAGGGCTCCAGAGGAATCGGGACGTTCTATGCCTTCTGTACTCAGCGTAGACTTGGAAAAGTACAATCCATCTTCAGCTGCTGCACTTGTAGCCAAATTAATGCCCTAAACCCTAAACCCCAAACCCTAAACAAACAAAAATACAATCTCAAGTCTATGACAGTTGGGTTGTAGTTAGCAATGGACCTCGACGCTAAAACCGAATCCTTGGCCCCAAACATAAGCCTTGACCCCCTCGGGATCTCGAAGGAGCCGGGACTAAGACTAAATGTTTTAGAGTGAGGGATTATGGTTTAGGGTGTAGGGTTTGCGTTGTTTTTTGCAGCCCCTCTTTCCCACCCGCACAGGTACAGAAAAGCGTCATTACGCAGGGGCAGAACCAAGCTTTCCAGCCAGATTCAAGGAGCAAAAGCAACCCCACCATCTCAACACGTCACAGGCGTACAGCCCCATCATTCCTCCAACATCCTTCCACCCACAACCAACGCCCAGTGTCACTTACAGACACAAAGCATCAGCTCAGAAGGAACTGCAGCGCTGGGGGACCATAAGCGCAGATTAAATGCAGCCCACGCTCAGTAGACGCCCAGCAAGCCACAGTTCACCAGGTCACCCACAAACAGGACAGGCCCCCCCTCAGCACACCCCATTGCATAGCCAGAGTCACCAGCATGATCAACTTGTACACATCCGATATGAGGAGAACAGCCAAGAGCCCCAGGATCACCATCACCATGTACAGCGCCCAGACCACCCGCCGTCTCGGCATCCACATCCGTACCAGCCACATCATCCACGTGCAGCAGCTTTAAACGCCTTGAACTTCTCAAGAACAGAGACACCGAGGCGGTCCTCGATAATGTCGTCTCCCGCTGCACCGTCCGCATACAAAGCCAAGTATGCTTGAACAATATCCTGGGGACAGCCCTCCACTTGGAAAACCTCGGCTTTGCAAATCTCCTGGACCTCTTGCGACGCCGTGATCACGGCCTGGTCAAACTGTGGAGACCCCACATCCGGCTCCTGTTCATCCTCCATCCGCAGGCCAGCCTCCATCTGTTCACCCTCAGGCTTCAATCACGGATGTGGTGACTTCCAGGTGTTGTCCGACTTCCACGACAACATCCTGACTGCCACGACCCACGAGCTGCCCTTGTCGCGTAAGCAGGTGAAAGGTCAATCCGAAGGTCCTTGGTGACAGGCTGGTTGTCCATAACCCTGTGCCGCATTTCTCTATCCCATTCTCGAGTGTTGGCATCATCAAGCTGCTGCTGCACGAGCTCCTCTTGGGGTTTAGGGTTTAGGGTATAGGGTTTGGGGTTTGGGGTATAGGGTTTAGGGTTTAGAGTATATCACCCTTCAGTAGATAGAACATGGGGGACACGGGGATCTTATGACTATATCGGGCAATTCCATATTCTATCAACTGAAAGAGAGCTAAAACCCCAAACACTATACCCTAAACCCTAAACCCTAAAGACTAGGCGTGCATCCTAAGAGCCCAGAATTGATGCTTTAGGATTTAGGATGTAGCATTTACGAATTCAGATGGGACTTAGGGTTCAGACTACAGGTCAGGGTTTAGGGTTTGGGGTTTAGGGTTCAGCGTTTAGGGTTTACAGCTTAGGGTTTAGGGCTTGGGGTTTAGGGTTTGGGGTTTAGGGTTTAGGGTTGTGCATTTGGGGATCTGAAGCTCCTTGTGCGAGACTAGGCAAGGTTGGGTAAAAGAAGGACTGTCGAGGGTGCTGGAGGGGTTCGCACGGAACCTGCACAGTGATTCTACGAAGACCAATTGCTTGAAGGTTCATGGGAAACGGTAAATGTTCATATCTAGTGTACACTGTATACAGCCGCACCTAACTACCAAGTAGGACGGTAGAATGGAAGTACAAGTATCCAAGTGCAGCTTCACTGCGAAGGATTCCTTAACCCACCTGAACCCTAAACCCTGGACCCTGACCCCAATCCTCTCCCCCTAATATTAACCCCCCCATCCCAGCCTAATATGAATGGGAATATTTCACCACGATGACCCTTATCCATCAGAACATGAGACTGCTGCTGCAAGGGCTTGATCAAGGTCTGACCCTGCAACTGGGCTGCTGGTAGGGAACTGAAAATTAAGTTACCACAATGGGTATATAGGGTATATACAGTAGAGTATATAGGGTTTTGGGTCTAGGGGTTAAGGTTACCATAAAGCGTATATATAGTAATTAGTAGGGTTTCTCCAGTATAGTAACGTGAAAAATTCTTTAACAGCAACCCCGGCAAGAAAGGACCCTGCCAAAATCATATGACAAGGACCATATGATGATCATTGGGTTCCTGTAGCTCAGATGAAGCTTGTCTGAGCTCTGAATGACAAAGCCTTCGAAAAAGGGGACATAGGCAAGGGAACTGAAACGAGTCCCACATTCGCAAAAGCACCGGGGCCCTGCCAAACACCATGAGGCCTCGGAAAATCTTGCTGAACCTACCAGAAACGTTCATTGAAAACCTGGGACATAACTATGCCCTAGACTAGTAGGTTTTGGGCCCTATGAAAACCAGTTGTCATGTTTTTTCAAGATTACTCGGATTAAAAGTCATACCCTGATATAACCCAAAACCAGAAAGCCTGCACCCTAGACCCTAATCCCAACACAAGATGATGAGCTCAGCACCATGTCCGCAAAGAGGCGGCTGGACCTGCTCTCTTCAAAGGCTCTTTTTGCAACACCTTCTCGAGATTTAGGGCCGGCTTTTGGGTTAAGAGCTCAATCGCCAAGGCTTGGCCCTTTGGGATTTAAACTACGTGGGGCTTGGGATTTTGGGGGAAACCCTTAAACCCAAACACGACGGGTGTAAGGTAAAGGGGGCTTGGGAATTGGGAAGTTCGAGGTTCTTCAATCTTTGGGGTTGGGATTTCAGGGGCCAGTGCTGGAGGTTTGGCGTCTTAGGGTTTAGGGTACAGCCCAGCCCCTTCAAACTCTTGCACTTGACCATGTGTCGCCCAAGTGACACGTCGAAAACTACCCCATGTAATCCTGAACGGGGCCCTTTGCACCCGGAAAGCCTAAACCTGACACCCCAAATCCTAAACCCTGAATCCTAAACCCCGAATCCTAAACCCCTGAGCCCTGACTCTTAAAATGGATAAATTCCTACTACAAAAACACTGCGCCGCCTGTAGCTCCCGTGCTGGAGGCTGTAGGCGTGCCGGTCAAGACCATGCCTTGCGAAGGCTCGAAATTTAGGGGTTTTAGGATTAATGTCCAGTCTTCAGGGTTTGGAGATCAAGGAAAGGGTTTTGGGTTTTTGGCTTGTGGCTTACAAGGTTTGGTCTTCAAAGTGTACGGAACGGCGCTTCTGGTTTCCGGATTCATGCTGAAGGTCTTGGCTAGCCCTGATATTGTAAGCATGATATCCCCCTGGTGGAAGCTCTTCACATTGGAATTCCAAGGACTATGATCGCGTGTCGTCTCAACGTTCTTAAGTTAAAGGTCCTGTAGACGAATCACTCAAAATTCGGGGTTTGAGGTTCTCGGTTCGGGTTCGGGGGCTAATGTTGAAGGTTAGGTTTCTGAAGTTGGTTTCAAGGCCCCACAGCGGTCAGCACGATTCGAGGGTCTTTCAACCCGAGAACCCATTGAGTCGTGCCGCAAGGTGGTCGAAGGTCTCCTTTTCAAACCTTAAGCTCTGCAAAATGTACAGATCGTGAGATACGACCAAAATCTCAATCCCCAAACAATGCCAAACACTGATCCTCTCTCCCTAGTATTTAAACCCCGCACCACCTAAAAACACATATTCCCAATATGGTCGAATATACTGCAATGGGAATATTGACTAATCGCCAGTCTTTGGGATGGATACAAATCCTTGCCCGTTATGCCCCTGCAAATGAGACAAAGATTTTTTTCAGCCCCATTCCCATTCGAAGGTTCGGACCTCTGTGGCCAGTACTTTGGGATTTAGACTTCACAGATTTAGATTTTGTGGGGCTGCTGGACTGGATGTGAAGTCCTTGAATATCATGTCAATGCTACATGGTCCTGTTTTTAACGTTGAAAAAACAGTGCGGCTGAAAAGCATTCGGACTTGTTGCCCTGCGCAATGTTGCATCATTGCTGCTTCATCCATTCATCCCTTCGAACAAAGCTAACTTCACTAGAAAAATCAGCGCGCAAATAATTGCTGTACCTTTCTTGGTGCCTGAGGGTATCCTTTCTGCCAACAATAGATTTTTCGCACACAAGGGCTTCAGTCTACGTAGAAGGACATAGCACCGGGGAAGAAATAAAAGTTTACGTAAAAGGACATAGCACCGGGGAAGAAATAAAGGGAATTGACGTGCAGCCGAAATCACCACCGCTGCGAACACCAAAAACACATACACGAGCTATAACTGCCGATGCTATCCTTGTTACAACGAAGGCTACTGCTACCACTGCCAGTCCCACCGCTTCTGCCACAACGACCTTAGCACTCGCAGCCCACCAACACAACACGGTTTTAATTCCTATCATGGCGCAAGGACACCGTGCGGCGCCTCCCTTGCCGGCGCTCAAAGCACACAGCAAGCAGGCGCGTAGTCGACCAGTCTGTTATTCCCTCCCATTCTTGAACCCAAATCTCATGTGGCTTAAGGTTTGGGCAAACTTTGGATGAAATTGGATTCTGTAAGGCTCCAATGTCGGAATGTTAGGGAAATATTTGGCGTATGCAAGGAGCCCATACAAGTTGTGGTCTGTATTGATGAAATAAGGACGACATGCATCTTGCCTGGGGTTACACAAATTTCAAATGTATGCACAAATTTTGTGAGTTTTGCATAGGAACATGCATTTGACACATCAGCGAACCAGGATTGCCAGACCAAAGTTTCGACAGCTGTAGCTTGAACTTGTCGGAGTTAACATGTTTAGCAAATCAAGGCATACGGATACATGAGGATCATCGAACTACATTACACCACAAATAACATAACTCAAAATCTAGATTCCGAGCCCTATAATATTGTACCGTTTTTGCAGCAGCAACACAACACACTGCGGGCACGACACTTTGACGCAACACATTCATGGCCAGAACGACACATCTCCAAGCGAACCACACCGTACGAGGCATCACACCCCCCCGAAGCAACCGACAGGGTAAGTGTAAAATCACGCATCATCCAAACAATATATAAATTATCCAAATCAAGTCACAATCAAACCTTCTCTTTTCGAAAGCATGGGCGAACGCAGTCAAGGCAACCCGCTCTGGCTTATCCCATACGTGCAAAAACTGGGATCAAGGGCACATCCGGCACTTTATCCTGCAACAAAAGGCTAATTCCATTTCCAAGAAGTGAATCCTGCAAAGAAAGGAAACAAGGGTCCTGCAAGTTGCTTGCAAGTACACCCATGAAATCCTGCAAGCCTCTCAAGGCGGGTGGGTGGGACAAAAAACTTATCAGCTACTGCTGAGCCACAACCACTCATGACAAACATGAATCCACAGTCACGCAAACATGAAACCACAGTCATGTGACTGCGTGAGAAAGATGGCAATGCATTTTTCCATGGGAACACTTTTTGTGCATAAAAAAGTCCCCCTCTAAAGGAATTGTTTCTTATTCATTGCAAAATACAAAATCACGCATCATCCAAGCAATATATAACTCAATCAAGCACTCTCTTTTTGGAAACATGGGCACAAACGTACAGTCAAGGCAACACTCTCTGCCTTATCCCATACCTGCAAAAACTGGGATCAAGGGAATATCCGGCACTGTAGCCGAGAAGGCACATGACATTCCCCTCGCTTCACTGATTTGCCTCGCCGGCAACGTGAACAGCTGTTTTGAAGGCAGGGAAGGACCATCCTTGCGGAAGGACTTCGGTACCATCCCAACCTCAAACCTTGACGGAGCATCCTTTTTTCGTTCAAGCGCTGCCTCAGGGTCTGAGACGTGCGGGCGAACACCATGGTGGTATCGCCATATACGTACACACACTAAGTGCCCCGAGGAGCCAGACAAAGGTGCACGCAGTACACTAGCTGCTACGACGTGAGACGATCCCGGA